GAATACTCACTCTGTGTGGCTTAATGGAGAGCCATCGGTGTGGTTTAATGGAGAACCATTGATCCACATCCACTTCTTCTCTGGCAGTTTGAAGTTGAGTCCAATCCATGCTTTAACCTTTATTGTGTCCTGGATGAATTTCTATAAAATACAATTTAATTTTCATTACAAGGATGGCTGCTGGAATTCCTAACCATGTCCTATTATTGAGGTTGTGTTAAGTTCCCCCGAATGAATCAGCTACCCCAACAGGTCTCTGACTTCCTGCCAGTTGTGCCTCTGATGCTGTGGGGGACCTTAGCAGGGGAACTTTGCCCCATCTGCTTATCCTTCAGGTAGAAAACGTTGGAACAGTGGCTGTTAAGCATCAAAGTAAGATCAACAGAAGCAACCATGAGAGAAGGTCCCTACATCCATTTGGGTGAGGCCACTTCATCTGAAGTATCACCTGAAGCCTGCTGGTAAATGCTAGCCAGTGAAGCCTTTCTGTTTAAAGTTAAAACAGACAAAGTAAGAAAGTTATGGATTCTTCACCTGCAACTAATTTTTTTTACCTGCTCTCCTGTATTAGAAATCACTAATAGCTGAGATCTTTTTGCCAAACAGTCCTCGTAGCTTTGGTCCCAGGACTCAATTGAATGAGAAAACCAGTAGCATTTGTCCTCATGCAGAAGCCAGGTCACAGGGCACACACTGCAGGATCCATTCTCTAAGAAAGGAAATAAATCTTTTTTTTTTAATTCATGTTTGTAATCAACTCTATGGGTATCTTTCAAGCTCTTTAAAATCACTTTGAATGGTAAGGAGAGGATCCCATTTAAAAATATACCAATTTTTATTGGGTTAGGGTCGTTCATTCATTCACTGAATTTCAAGATCATTTTGCATAGGTTTACATTTTCAAGTGGGAGAACGCTAAGCTCATTTACAACTGTGGGGCAATTCAAACAGACCGTTGACTCACAACGGGGAAGCAGCTTCACTAGTTCCAGGGAAGGGGTCTGAAGTCCATGGCTTAGCGTGCAGGCAGGCCTGGGGATCCCTCACCACTGGGGATGCTGTGTGGGACTGGAAGGCCAGTTTAAGCCCTGTAGGTTTCCTCCATGTCATCTTCCTAATCCTCAACTCTAAGCTGCATCAACATAGCCATGAGATCTCCCCGCTCCCCTCTGTTTCTCTGTGCGTGCTTGGTGGCTCCCTGAAGGCTTCCGGCTCATCTCTGCCTAAAGGTTAGTGGGCCCCAGTCCTCTTGAAGTAGGTGGCATGCAGTCCTGAGGAAGGGGCAGGACATGCACAAGCAGCTGTTAGGGTTTGGGGAGAAAATAGAAATAGGGGGAT